AATTTGGTGTATCTAAAATGTGAATTGTTATGAGGAAATTATATATTAAAATATTTAAAATATCGAGAGGATTTCATATCTAAAATTTAGAACTGTTTAGAGGTGATTTTGAGCAAATTATCTTCTTCGTCTTCATGAGTCTTATTGTCTTTAAAAAAAATAAAAATCAACGTACCAAAAACGTGAATAGTTTAGAACGAATTATACATTAAAAGACTCGATGCATCGAGACGATTTCATATCTAAAATTTGAGATTGTTTAGAAGTGATTTCAAGTTGATCAAAGTTGAATATTCAATTTTCATGTACAGTCAATGTATACTTTACGTATAGTTAAGCTATATTTAGTTTGTTTGAGTGTATCATAATGTATAGTCAGTGTATAACTCATGATGTATATGTATGCTATATTGTATAGCAAATGTATACTTTCTATGACTTTTGACAAGCTATAATGTATACTAAGTGTATACTTTTTATGACTTTTGACTATTTTTTATACAAGTAAAATTTGCTATATTTATTGTAAGCTAATTAGTTTATCGTATATATTTAAAATTGTCCCAATAAAACATGGTAGCGAATATCTTGAGTTGAAAATCAACCAGTATGAGCTCAGTGGCGGAGCTACTTGTTTCTCAAGGTATCTAATTGGACACCCTTCGTCGAAAACAAATACCGTATATACTAGTAAAATGATATACAAAATGTTTAAATAACACATGATAAACACCCGTAACATAAACTTGGGATGATACAACTCAAGTACAAAAACAAATTTTGCTATGTGGTAAGCACATAAGTACAAAAACAAATTTTGCTATGTGGTAAGCACATAAGTACAAAAACAAATTTTGCTATGTGGTAAGCACATAAGTACAAAAACAAATTTTGCTATGTGGTAAGCACATAAGTACAAAAACAAATTTTGCTATGTGGTAAGCACATAAGTACAAAAACAAATTTTGCTATGTGGTAAGCACATAAGTACAAAAACAAATTTTGCTATGTGGTAAGCACATAAGTACAAAAACAAATTTTGCTATGTGGTAAGCACATAAGTACAAAAACAAATTTTGCTATGTGGTAAGCACATAAGTACAAAAACAAATTTTGCTATGTGGTAAGCACATAAGTACAAAAACAAATTTTGCTATGTGGTAAGCACATAAGTACAAAAACAAATTTTGCTATGTGGTAAGCACATAAGTACAAAAACAAATTTTGCTATGTGGTAAGCACATAAGTACAAAAACAAATTTTGCTATGTGGTAAGCACATAAGTACAAAAACAAATTTTGCTATGTGGTAAGCACATAAGTACAAAAACAAATTTTGCTATGTGGTAAGCACATAAGTACAAAAACAAATTTTGCTATGTGGTAAGCACATAAGTACAAAAACAAATTTTGCTATGTGGTAAGCACATAAGTACAAAAACAAATTTTGCTATGTGGTAAGCACATAAGTACAAAAACAAATTTTGCTATGTGGTAAGCACATAAGTACAAAAACAAATTTTGCTATGTGGTAAGCACATAAGTACAAAAACAAATTTTGCTATGTGGTAAGCACATAAGTACAAAAACAAATTTTGCTATGTGGTAAGCACATAAGTACAAAAACAAATTTTGCTATGTGGTAAGCACATAAGTACAAAAACAAATTTTGCTATGTGGTAAGCACATAAGTTCTTTAGTCTAATAAAGAACTTTGTCAGAAATAGAATGGAATTTGTAAAATTCGAATATGCTCATATTTTACAATGCCATCAACTTTGCATAATCTATATTTTCTCCTACTAATTAGTGACGTTCAAAATTCAAACAATATATATTCTTGGATAAATTATTTTTAAAATCATGATTTTTGTCCTAATCATCTTAAGTACTATAAGGTCGTTTCTTTCCTTTGAGAAACACAAGAAAAGTGATACATTTAGTGAAAATGTCATAAATAGTTCCTTAACTATATGAGTAGGTATAAAATGGTCCTTTAATTATATACTTATTAGATTTAGTCCTTCAACTATTTTAAAACTTATCAAATTTGGTCCCTTAACTATACATTTATTAATTTTAGTCTTTTAACAATACATTTCTCGATTTTAGTCCTTTAAGTATTTAAAAACTTATCAAGTTTGGTCTTTGTCAATATTCTTATACAAATAACTTAGATTTAATTAACGGAATCCATGTATCGATAAATTAAATCTTTTAGCCATTTTTTCTATTGTTGCTCTCTCTATTACCTTTTCTTCAAATTAACCTTATGCCAGAACCATAACCTCAACGATTTAAAATAAAATTCACGAGGAAAGAAAAGATAAGTCATAATTTTATTCAACAAAGAATAAATGAACCATATTATTGCTACTAATGACTTGAATAATATGATAAACTTTATTATAAAAAGAAAAATTATTACTCGTTAAATCCAAAGTTTGTACTCCAACGACTTCATTGAACGAAATTTGTTTAATTTTTGCAGAAATTGAAATTTATAAAATGGTAGATTTGCAAAAAAAATTAAATAGATCAATTTTATTGTTCAATTCATTTTATTTTACGTAAAGAAATTTGAGTAAATTAAATAAAATTCGCACTGATTAACATATTCAAGTGCGGATTCAAGTCATTAACAACAATTATATGCTTAATTTTATTAAAATCAAGATTTACATCTCCTTTCCTCATTAATTTTATTTTGAATCGTTGAGGTTATTGTCCTTATATAAGAGTAATTTGAAGAAAAATGGCGGAGATAGAAAAACAACTTAAAAAATAGGTTAAAGATTTTATTTCACAAAGAGTTCCGTTAATATAACCTAAGCTATTTGTATTAAAAAAAAATAGACAAAGACCAAACCTGATAAGTTTTTGAATACTTAAAGGACTAAAATCGGCAAGTGTATAGTTAAGGGACTAAAATCGTTAAGTGTATAGTTAAGGGACCAAATCTGATAAATTTTGAATAGTTAAAGGACTATCTCCGTTAAGTATATAGTTAAGGAACCATTTTAAACCTATTTATATAGTTAAGAGACTATTTATGTCATTTTCTCGATACATTTCAAGGAATTTAAATAATATAGTAGTATTAGTTAGTATGATTATTTTTTTTATGTCATAAAATCATTTTCATATGTTGTAACAGATACACATCAAATTTTACATTACTCAAAGTCTCAATCATTCAAGGTGTCATCATTTCAAATAAAAGCTTATTCATATTTGATATTTATATTAAATTTATCAGGTGAAATGACGTGGGAGACCCGTGTACTTGGCTCCGTTTGTCAGTTGAACCCTCCTACTCAGCACTTTGCTAACCAAACCCTCAAACTCATCAGAATACAATGTTTTAAACCCCTCTGATCATTGACCGATCTCATGTGACATTAATATTGGTGAGTTGGAAATATGCGTGATTACACGTGCTTGAAAGTGAGTTAAAACAATATTTTACTTTTAAAAAAATTAATTTAACAAAATTAAAAAATAAGATCCATCTTCTTCAACCCTCCTTCACCCACCCACCCACGACTTTCTTCTTCTCCACCAGCCTCTCTCCTCTACCCCTCACCACAACCCTCAACTTTCTTCTTTCTCCGGCCCCACATTCACTCTTCTCCGCCTCGTTTTTTTTTTTATACAAATCATGAATAACCTCAACTTCTTCTAAAATTTTCGTTTTTTAGGTTTGAAAAATATTAGTATCATTATTTTATTAGATGGTTTCAACGAGGAGATGTAGATAATGTGAAGGATGATTCTGACTATTGAAAATTTTTAAACTCCGTTGATAAGCTTGAAAAAGCTTAAAAAATAATAAATGAGTCTTGTGAATTTGTAAAATTAATTAAAAATTTTGATTGGGGTTCATTGAGTTTGTATTGGTGAACTTGCAGTTGAATTTACAAGATAAACCGAGAAGAATTTGATCTAATGGGTATGAATTTAGTGCTCAATTTGTGACCAAATATGAAGAAGATGACTATTTGAAAAGTTTAAGAAATTAAAAAATTGATCTATTTTATTTTTTATTTTTTTAGCACTTAATTTCGTATGTGGCACTAAAAATGATGTGAAATTTCACGTGTAATTGCGTCCATTACACGCACACTGACCGGAGGAGAAAAGGCTTAAAATGTTGTGTTCTAATAGGTTTAAGGGTCTAGTTGGCAAAGTAATGAGTATGAGGGTTCAACTGACAAACGGAGCCAAGTACTGAGTAATTAAAAATAAAAAATATTGTTAAATTAATTATAATTACTTATTTGATGTTGAATATTAAGGTGTTTGATTTTTTTTTGTATCCCATATTCCCCACAAGCTACGTAAAGAGAGTTTAATAAGTTAGTCTATCACTTTGAATTTAAGTAAAGTACACTTGACACTCCCAAAATTCCCTTTGCCCCCCTATGCCAATTATTGATTTTGTTTGGCTGAACTTTACAGCCTAATTTCTATATTTTTTTTATTGATAAATAAAATTTAAAACTCTCTCAACATTATATTTATTATTATTGAAATTGACTTTGCATGTTCAAACTACCAAAACTCTTAAAAAAACCAAAGTGAAGTACACTTAGCTAGCTTTAATCATAGAGTTTTGAATCAATATTAAAGAATTATTCATAAATATCTGTTTGATTATATATTTTAGTTTAAAATTTTAAAAGATTTTTCTTAATTTTTAAATTCTAAAAATCGATAATAGTTCAAACCAATTAAAATGAAGTATACTTGACTAGTTTTGATCATAGAGTTTGAATCAATTTAAAAAATTTATTCATAAATATTTATGTGACTATAAATTTTGAATATGTTTAACTAGATTAGTTCAGTTTTTAGTTTTTTAGGATTTATTTGTAAATTATTATTTTTCTATATATTTAAGAATAATTTCAACTTTAAAATCTCAAATTTTTAAATTTAAATTTCAAAATTTATGACGAAACAGAAACTGGAGTTTTCATTTTTTTTTTCTCACTTCATTTCTAAGTTTACAAAGTGAAAAAAAGGTGGGCACCTCACAAGTCTCTTCTTCACAATAATATCAGCTGTCTGTGTTGTTTTTGCAAGTCTTCTCTATTTCTTGCTGAGATCTAGAGACAAATCCCTAAAACTAATAAGCAAAAATGGCGGAAGAGAAGGATCCCACTTCTATACCACTAAGTCAAGCTTCTGAAGATCCTGAAGACGCCATCAAATCTACTCCTGCTTCACCCAATTCTTCTACCCGCAAGGTCAGTTTTTCTTTCTAAAAGCTGTCTGATTTTTTTTTTTGTTTTAGAGGAAATTTACTCTTACCCTTGAATCTAAAGGAGATTATGAAGAAAAGGGGAGATGGGTTATTGTGTTTGGTATAGGAAGTGTGTTTTCTTGATTTTGAAAATATGGGAAGTGGAGAAGGGATTGGAAAGAATGGTGAAAATGGGTAGTTGTGTTTGCCGCAGGACATGGACAAACTTGTTGAAAAGTATTGAGTTTTCGATATTTTATTTTTTGGGTTCAAAGGGTAGTATATATATTTACAATTTATGAATTACCAATTGGGATAACTGCATTTCTCGTTTGGCCATAGTTTTTGAAGTTGAAGCTTGAAAAATTGAGTTGTTGAAGTTGTGTTTGGACTTGCATTTACTTGGGAAAAAAATGGATTTTTGTGAGTGGAAGTGAAATTTCTCAATTTCTACCAACTTGAAAATATTTGAAAGATCAGAAATTTCACGGACAAATAGATAGTTGAAGATAAATTTTCAAAATCTGATCCAAAATCTATGCTAAGTGTGCGGAGAATACTGGTTTTGAAGTAGACACAACTGATTCTTAAAATGGGGTTTTGATATTTTGTCATCTTATATACCTGCTCATGTAAAATGTGGTTTGTATTTCTTTCACTTGGGTTGGGAGTTATCGAATAATTAGAGTCAATTTATGCACAAAAAAAAAGGTACATTCTAATAATCTGAATGATGGGTTAATTTTGATATGATCAAAGTCATAGATTTTGTGCATCCTTATAAGAAAAAAAGGTCATAGATTTTGTGCATCCTTATAACAAAAAATGGTCATAGATTTTGTGCATCTTATCTACTTATGGGATGTAGTTGGTAATTTGGGTTGGGGTAAAACTTATTGATTTAGCATCAGCCTATGCTAACATACATTCTTGCGTTCTGGTTTTCAAATTGATGTGATAGAAGGATATTATTGTTAGAAACTATGTAGCTCGAACTTTTCAAATCCTTCAAAGTTCAGTGCATTTTTTGAGGATCCGACACGGTTGCGCAACATTTTTGGAGAGTCTTAGCAACATAAGCCACCTAAATCTGTTTGATTTTTTATATTGGAAGAAAGTTATATGAACAAGTTTATCTGGAGATGAATAGATTTAAAGACCTTTCAACAAAACTTGAATCCGGAAAAGAAGTTCAAACTGGTGAAGAAGTGGTCCAAGTCAGAATAAATGATTTAAGAAAATCCAGGTTCTTTGGGGAGTAAAGCAGTATATTCACTTGTCCTTTTCCTACCCAAAGTGCCAATATATATTCTACATATGCTAATCCGGAAAAGAATCTTCAAACTGGAAAACAAGTTGACACATGAGAACAAATAATTTAGAAAAGCCAGGTTCTCTAGAGGGGAACTGTTTGATAGACACTTGAGCTGTATATTCAATCTCTAATCCTTTTAATGCCAATTGTACTCCAATATATTTTCAGTCTGGAATTTTCTGTGTTTTTTGTGCATGTATAGTGAAACTCCTATGAGAAAAGGACATATTTAAGCATTTCTCTCTATACATATTCCTGTAGGCAGTTTACTTGTATATATCTTAATAGTTTTTCATACCTCTTTTTCAGGCTTGCTGTTATTTTCTTCAAAGTTGGGTATCTAAGAAGTTTATGACTGGATGGTAATTTCTTATCTCAATGTTGCGTTACCAATTTTAATAGGTTTTGGCTATCTTTCAATCCCTAACAACTCCAAAATTTGAAATTGCAGTGTGGTTCTCTTCCCTGTGGCGGTTACATTCTTTGTGACATGGTGGTTTATTCAGTTTGTTGATGGTTTCTTCAGTCCACTATATGAACAACTTGGCATTGACATATTTGGTAAGTCCAATTTTCCAAAATTTTGATAGCTGCAGTTAGTTTTCTGTATTGGTTTATCCTGCTTCTTGATACCTAGTAGTTCAATACCCTGCATATTTAAGGCTCACCTCGTATTTTCATTTTCAGATATTTCATTATTCTGCATCACTGCGACTTCACAAGATAATATTGCAAATTGTTCTTTGAAATTGAACTTATCAGCTGCAGATATCTCTTTGTGAACATGTAAAAAGTTACTATCTACTTTTGTTGAGGAGAAAAGTAATGAAATGAATTATAAACTTTCCTTTACTTTCTGTAGTGAAGAGTCGGAGCAATATGAGAAAGAATAAGTTTTGGTGATTATATTTTCTTGTCTTCGTGATGGAAGTAAAGTTTTGTTTCTGGTAACTGAGGATTTCAGTTAGGGGCTTCAAAAAGGATATTGCTTTCAGCATACAACCAACTATATCCAGCTATATTAGTCTAAGATTCTCGTGGTTGACCTGGCATAACTAGAATAACTAGAAAAATAGCCATTAATTGTGCTTGCTTTTTTTCCCCCCTCAATACATAACATTGTGTTTAGGGTTTAGCCTTCTCTGACGAACTCATATGAAATGCTTTGCTCTTAGAACTGTGATGTTGATATCAGTGTAGATGTAAAAATACACTTCTCTTTTCCTGAGTTGTAAATGCCTCTCACGAAGCCATTGATGTCCTTCTATGTGATCAAATATCTAATATTTCATTACGTATAGAACTTAAGCTGGTTTTTGACGGTCCATTATGTTTTGTGTTATCTTTCCATGTTTCATGCATGATTGATAAATCTCATGTTTCCATGGCATGGCTTATGTGTTGTCCACCTTCCTCCTTGTATTAAAAGTTGTTATGTCCATTGTATATTCCCCATATCTCCTGACCTTTGGGAAATTTGTTGTTGGTGCAGGACTAGGATTTGTCACATCTCTTGTTTTTGTATTCTTAGTTGGAATTTTTGTTTCATCTTGGCTGGGTGCTACTGTTTTTTGGATTGGGGAATGGATTATTAAGCGAATGCCATTTGTCAGACACTTATATTCGGCTTCAAAGCAGATCAGTTCTGCAGTGTCTCCAGGTAAAGTTACAGATTTTTCTTCTTCTGAAGAGCAGAATGATGAAATGAAACTTACCTTCCATTTGTTAAGGGGAAAGGCAAGGCAAGGAGTGGTGTACTTATCTAATTCATTTCTGGATCCCATTTCTTGCTACTATCATCCTGAGATGGGAAGGGGAAAGGAGAAGAAAAAAGGAGAGCGTGTGTGGGATGGGGGGTGAATGGGGTTATTTCATAATAGTTTACAGAATATGTTACTATCACCTTTTCCTTTCATCAAGAAAAAAGGGTGGATAGCAAAAGAAAGATAAAGGAAGGATAATCTCTAGTGGTGGAGTGTAACGAATTTCAGAGCTGTGAAGTAAACATGTGAAATCTGAAATAAACTTTCATCTGATGTCCTGGACTTTCATTTAAATAATAAAGGGTGTCAAAAAGCATGGGGATCAGGACCATAAGACAGACAATAATACATCAAATTTGTGCCTCGAAGATTAAGAAATAAGTACTTTATTTTGAGAGTTGAGGTTGCTACCTGGAGTATTTTGATTTTGCTGTATTCTCTTATTACTTTTTGTTCTTGATACTTACTTTTCATTCGTATATAATCTACAGATCAAAACACCACTGCTTTTAAGGAAGTGGCAATCATTCGTCATCCCCGTGTGGGTGAATATGCTTTTGGTTTTATAACATCATCAGTTACCCTTCAGGTATTTGTTTGCTGTAGCAACTTTTTGTTGGCTGATACGTGTACATTATTGACACATCATTTCTGGATGGCAGACGGATGAAGGGGATGAAGAATTGTATAGTGTTTTTGTCCCTACAAACCATTTGTACATTGGTGATGTACTCTTGGTTAACGCCAATGATGTCATAAGACCAAACATGTCCATCCGTGAAGGCATTGGTACGTCTCTGGTTTTTTGGCAACTCGTCTTTAAAATGTCACTCCTTGTTTAGTACTAGTAGCTCGGTTGACTGGTTGAAGCATGCATCTTACTTGATGGTGTCTTTAGTTTACTGAGTTATCCAACTTTCTAAAATTAACCAACATAAGCTTATCCATGGTAAGATTTATCTCCAAATGTTTCAAATGAATTTCGGGTATGTTTACAGAACTGTTATCAAGTGTTTCTAACAGTGAAGCCAAAAAAATGCAGAGATCATTGTTTCTGGAGGAATGACCATGCCTCAAAGGATCTCTCATGTGGCAAGAGTTGCGAGACAAAGTGAAAGAATTCCACTGAACAGAATTAAGTAAAAATAGTGATGAACATGACAATGTAGGACTGTTTGTAATTAGTCAAGGAGGGAAACAAAAATCATATATACATTGCTGTAATTTTTCGGATCGATCCGATGCTCTTCGATATGTTGTATTATGTCTTTCTTCTCAAGATACAGTAAAGTTCTTGTTGAAGGTGTTTAAATTCATGTCCATCTCCGGCAATCAAACATGGAACCAAACAGATATATTCAGTTATCATGTTATCCCAACATGGGTTTATCGGTTCGATGTTGGTTTTTTGGGTTAATCGATAACTCATTAAGAATATAATAATTTACTATTTTAATTTTTAGTCATACATAATTGTCAAACAAAAAATATTAATATAATCACTATATTTGACTATAACTATAAGGACCCTACACAATTAACGGTTTAACACTATTTAAGGTTGCTCTCTACAGTTACCCTTTAGGTTTTAATATTACTTTAGTCTTTAGGTTCATAACATCAAAACCTAAAGAACTAAGAACGGTGATGGGTAGGGTTTGCAACGACAACGACAACGACAACGACAAGGGTTGTGAATTGTGAGTATTTGCTACACTAAGCATAATTTTTGCACTCAATGAGTAATTTGATTTCTCTCTTTGTTATTTTGCGCCAAATTATTGGACAAGTTGGTTAAACCGATAACTGAACCGTTAAAGACCAAAAATCGATAAACCGAAAATCGATAACAAATATCTTGTTGGTTTGATTATCGGTTAAACATATTTAAAAACCGAAAACAATAAATCAAATCGATAATATTTAAAATTGAACCGAACCGATTGATACACACTCCTCCGTACTTCCAACTCTTGCTCCTGACACATGTTCTCACCATTTGTGACAAAAAGAATGAATGATCTGATCTGTATCTTGAGCCCCAAAAGTTAACCTTGAGCCCCCAATGTTAAAATGGTAAGTTTCTTTGAGAATCAATTCACACACAAAGTTGAGGAACTCAATTCTAAAATTTCATTGAGAGCACATATTTAATGATGAAACTATAGATTATCAAGAAATGCATAGTTTATTGGTTAGAATCATACCTAATGAATAAATCTAAAAAATTCCTTTTTAATCACCCTAAAATCGTGATCCCAAGCTCCTAAAATCTAATTTTGACCTTAAAAAAAAAGGAATTATAAATGGTCACTATCAGACCCTTCATCATAAAAATTAGACCGTGACAAAGACAGAATGCAACTAATATCTTTTTTCAAAAAGGTAAAGAATATGCATTTGTTTTGAGAATGGTGCATGAATTTAAATCTATAATTAGTAAGAAATCTTTCTTCTTAACGGTTTATGTAATTGCATCAAACTTTCTATTTTATTTTCTTAAAATTAAAGAAGTCAAATATGTAAATTTGTTAAGTCGATTATTATCGGCAAATAGACGAAGATAATAAGATGAAAATTTAGTCACGTAGAAATAAACATAAACAAATCAATACATCATAAAAAAATCACATCCATGATTTGTTCAAAATCAAATCTTAAAGAGCATTTTTATAAATTTAAAAGCCAAAAAATGATGTAATAAGAAGATTACATATATCTCAAACCCTTGGATGCACAATGAGAGGTATTATAGACACCAGTTAATGATAAAATAAATTATAGAAAAGAGAAATAATTTTCTTTAATCAACAAACTAGTACTCTTTTAAGTATTGACAATAAATGTCAATAAATTAACTCTTTTTCAATTACTTGACCATAATCCAAGACTTCCATTATTATATGAATTCATGACTTAGAGTAAATCAAACAAGAGAAAAAGAAATGAGTAATCAATAAAGTCAATTTACAATGTAAAAATCGGTGAAATTCACCTTTTAAAAATTTAAATGTACTAAGATTTACGTAATCTAAAGAATTTCTCACCCATCAACAACTACTGATTAAGAGAATTTTGAACCAAAAAAAGACTCCAAAAAAGTATCAAAAGATAGTAAACTAGGTTAGGGAGGGAGGGGTGTAGAGAAAATCATCCAAAGTTAGGCATAAAGATAAAAATCTTTAAACTAATTTTTTTGATTTATACATTAAAGTACTTAACTAGTAAGATAAAGATGAATTGCTTAATATGTCTGTTCCATATAGTTTTTGGTTGTTGTGGTTTATGAAATTTCATGAGACTTTTCTGGTAATGTCAAATATTATTTACATTTTCACAATCTAATAGCTAGAATTTGTTAAATATTTGAAGGAGAACAGAAGCGCTCACTTTCATCAAATTTAAAGGCCTAAACTGCTCATGAATATATATATTTAAGGGACAGATTCTGAATCTACTCAAGATTGAACTCTCCCATGAATAAATTTTCTAAAAAATTATTATATTAACTAGGAGGACTAAATTTTGTTGTATCCAATGATTCCAATCTGAGAAAACATCAATTTGGTTAATTACATGAATTTTTCAATGTTGAATTTTTTATTTTTATTTTTTATGTGTTGTATTTATAATTATAGATGGAATTAAATTATCAACTTGATGAGTTTAAAATGTAATCCTTTTAGCACTGAATGATATTTTTTTTTTGCAAATTACGAGTTAGAAAATAATTGTTGAAATTTTACCTAAACATCAATCATTAGAATAAAAAATATTGGGTTCAGATAAATTTACAGCGAAACAACTTAATCAGACATCAATCCTTTCCAATGATTTTTTCATTTGTTTTTTCTATTACTACGTGTTTTTTGTTGTTGATTATTCAACTTCTGAATTATGAGAAAACCTGTAATATATTTCATGAAATGAAAATTGCAGTACAACTAATTTCCAAAGAGAAAGCTAAAATTTAGTTTTAATAATGCCTAACATTCCCCTTGCTACTGAAGTAATAAGCATGTAAGAATGCAATTTGATTAGAAATTTCGATGGCCAACACTACTTTTCACCAGCTGTGCTCCTCAAATGTTTGATAGAACTCAAATACTTATCATGCTGCAGAATAAAAGGCCACATAAAGTTAGTAATCAATTATTTACTAAAGAATTTCATAAATGAATATTTGATAAAATGAAAATCAACCTCTGCTTCCATATGGTCACAATCATTACAAAACTTAATAAAAAGCTTTATTTGTTCTTCTCCAACAACGTAAGTTGCCATACTACTCTCCAATTCATATAGGATGGCGAGTAATTTCCGTTCGAGGTCAAGTAATTTTTCGAATTTCTTGATCTTCTCACTAAGAAATCAAAACATCATGGAGGTTGTTAACAAAAGAAAACAAAAGACGAAGAAATAAAAAAACATCGAAGAAAAACTTACTTGATTAGATCTTGTTTCTTTGAAGCCATTGATAAAGAAAATCTAGAGCAATATAAGAATAAAGAAACTTGATTTATTTTAGATTGCTAAATTACTTGCTTCTCACAAAAGGAAAACCCCCTTTAAATAGATGTCTTCATAATATTCTTACCAAATATAATATTTAATGTTCACATGATTATAGAAAGTTAATAAATTTTTTGAGATTTTATATAGGTTAAAAAGTGATAAGAAATTAGTTTTGTTGTTCAATTTAATGAGATAAATTGAATTTGAATCTATCCTAAAGTATAAAGAGGCATTTGGTCTTAAATAATAGGTAATTAAATTATTTCAATGCTAAATTACAAATTAAAGATATAATGGTAGTTTTCCTAAATAGGATACCCATGTAGATATTATGAGGGGCATGTTACATTTTGCACCCTTAACATATGTTCAGTTTTGTCATTTGAACTCTATTATATATATATATTTAATGATCTGCACCCTAACCCATTTATTTTTTTGCAAAATAATGAAACCATTCTTTATAAAATATTTTTAAAAGGACAAAATTGGAATACAAATAATAAGAAAGAGAGCGATCATACTGATAATTTGATTTTCTGGTAACTCAATGACTTCAGTAGTTACATTTGAGCATGTTGGCCTTATATATATCACTAATGTGTAAGACTTGCTTACTTATATATCCAATATCTCTCCTATGTTTTGTTGATGTGGTACTTCTTATGTTAAGTTGGGGTGTCATATACACCCCCTCTTATGGACTCAACGCTACCTCATGGAATTTGCCTAGACTCAGCACAAACATTTGTCTCACGTTACTTAGATTTACATAAAATTAGTTGAACTTTCTTTCACATCGACAAGGCTGATACAACTTGACTTTGATATCATTTATAACGGTCCAGCCCACTAGTGATATTGTCTACATAGATCCTAGGCATGCACAACTTTAAAATGTGTCACTAATGTGTAAGACCTGCTTACTTATATACCCAACATATCTCTTGTATTTTTTTCCTGATGTGGAACTTCTTATTTTAAGGTGGGATGTTACAATATATGTGATCAAGTGTCAGTATATAAGTTGTAATGTTTGCATGAACAATCTTAAATTTGATAGAGTGTGTTTGAATGAGTAAATTTTAGATCACGATTAATCTTTCTGTGCAAATCATATTTGTAAGTAACCTTGTCTGATTAGCACTAATGAGATATTGTGTTTGTATTGGATCGGATGAGTTGTTCGAGATTGAACAAAAGCTTCAAGTATGGAGTGACGATCTAGGGTGTATTTACGCATCTATTCACCAAATTTTACCCATAATTTAACTAAATTCTGAGTATAATCTTACGTGTTTATTGTACATTTGTTGTTATGAGCTAATAGATGTGATTAGGTTGATTTCAGACAACAAAACAACAAGAAAAGACCCAAAAATTGGATTGGAATGTAAAATAAAGTGTGCCAAACTAAAATACAAACAAAGAAATTACAATAATGGACTTTGCAATGCGAGGGCACCTTCCACATGATGGACCCCACGCCTTTCATGTTGAGAATATAGATTCTAAAATAAAAAATTCATATGATGAACATGCGACACATGGAGAAGGAAGCAGGATTCTGAGATGGACGTCATTACACACCCCCCGAGCCACACGATGGTCTTCACGTTGCAACCTTTTGTTTGTTGATATGATGTTAACCAAGTCAAAGCAGAGTCAATTAGGATTAAGACTACGATTCTGCTATTATAATTATGTCATTATGGTGACATTTTTAAGGGTTACAAATTATTATTAGGGATTATCATTAGTTATAGAAGTTAAGGATTATTACTAGCATAGAGTTTCCAATATTCTT